AAAAAAAAAAAAAAAAAAAAAAAGACTTCTAATTACCTCCATCTTTAAAAGTATTTATAACTTTACATATAGTTTTTTTGAAAATTATTATATAAATATAACTTTTGAAAATATTTAAAAATTCTATAATCTCTAATTTTATATTAAATAAAAGCATGCTATACTAATAGTAAAAAAAAGTTCTGACAAATTTTCTTCTATATGCAAATGACTAAGTAAAAGATGAAAAAAACTTTTTTTTATAAAAATAGTTGTATAATATTCTCTGTTATTTCTTTATTTTTATGAAATTCATACATGTTTTTTTTATTATAAATTTTCAGTTGAAAACTCTTGGTTTATCCTGATACCACTGTTAATTATTTTTGGATTACATGAAGATTTGTAAATGTACCACTATCTATTTGAAATCAACAAAAGTAATTCTTTTTTATTCCCTCCAACATTACATTACTCGATAATTCCTAACTTATTTCTTAAATTGTAATTTATGTGACAGATACATAAATATAAAGTGTTGACATCACAAAATATGTTACCATCATTTAGCTAATCTTAAAACTAATTATTTATTATAAATAAACTAAAAATACAGTTTAACATTTTATGTATTTAGATTTATAACCTTGCATTATCTTTTTTTCTATTATTATTATGATTCTATTTAAAATAATTTTTAGTTAAGTGTATAAAAATATAAACATGATAAAATATAATGTATTTATTTACACTTATTGAATACCAATTTAGGTAGGTAATTATATAACGTTGGTTGTATTATTTTGTTTTATTGAATTTTTTTAAGTTAATTAATGCTGTTTTAATGTAATTTAAATTAAGTATATTTTATAAAAAAAAATTCCATTGTTATGCTATTATAATATTTATAAAATTAATAAAAAAAATTTTAAGTACAAACAATTTTGTGTAAGTAATTAAATATTCATGATTTGAACTCTATTGTCTGATTAGTCTATAATTTTTTTAAGACTTTATACATATTTCCATTAAAAAAAAATTAAGTTAATGTTACTTTAAAATTGTAAGAATGCCATTTTTTTAAATAATAATTTTTTAGATACTATTAACTTCTAAAAAAGAATAATTTTAATAATTTTTATATTTTTAAAGATTTTGCATAGTTAATCAATCACCCATTATGTATGTATTTTACCAATCTAAATAATTTAAATATTTAAAAAAAATCTGTAGTATAATTTTATTGTTTTATCTTTTCTGGTTTTATTTATCTCTTAGTTATACGAAATCAACACCTAAAACAAACAAAAGAAACATACCATTTTTACATAATAAAATAATGTTTCAAGTTAAAAGATTTTATTTCATCTTGAAGTGAATTATAAAAAATTATCTTAGTGCTTTAAGTGAATAAATTTTTATTTTTCTAACTAGATCTATCAATAGATATACAAGAGTGGGTCTTTTTTTATTTTTTTTTAGTATAAAAATCTATATTTTGCTTTTATCTATGTCAGCATTGCCCTTCTCTCAACTTTATATCTAACAAAAGCACTATGTTAATTAATAGAGAGTTATTAAAAATGAGTATTCAATCTTCTTCTTATTCCTCCCCTTAATCGCAACTGCTTGGGGTTGGCCACCATTATCCTAAACTTCCACTTGATGCAATCTCTCACATCAGCCATCTTTATATTGCATTCAATAACATCCCTCAAACTCTTTTTTGGTTTTCTTCTACCTTTTCTTGCTTAATATTCATTACTTAATATCGCTTAATATTCATTAACTGTTCTTACCGATTTCCAATTCCTCTCTTCTCATAAAATGACCAAACCATTTAAGTCTATTTCCTCTCATCTTATCCACAATTGAAATGAGTATTCAATAATTATACTAAATTTTTGGTCAGGTTATTATTTGATAAAATACACAGTAAAACTATAAATAGATAATTATTTTTTACTATATATATTAGATATTATTTAATATAGCTATTTATTTTATTAAATTTTTTGTAATATAACTATTATAAAATTTCTAAATTGTCTTCATTTTTTTTTTTTAAATAATGTTCCAGGGTTTTTATTCTAAATGAAAGAGGCAATTCAGAAAAAAATTTTTTTTCATCCCCTTTTTCTGAGTAAATTTCATGACCAAATGGTAATATATTTCTTAAAATTTTATTTCTTTGTATTTCTTTTTCATAATATTCTAATCCACCTTTAATATATTCTGAATTTATTTTGCAAACAATTGAATCTGCGTCATGTAAAAAAAAGTTTTTAACACAATTTCGCAAAAAAAAACACAATATTATTCCAATATTGCATAAAATAAACAATACAAGTCCTCTAAATTTTATAGGATTTCCTGATATTAGCTTCATTATGTATTCTCCCAATGCATACACAGGAATTAAAGTTAATGAAGAAATAATAGACTTGATAAATAGTTGAAAGTTATCTGTAAGAACTATTTCTTTAGCAATAGCAAACTTTTTTGCAGAATCACTGAGTATTAATGTTTCCATATATTGCTTTTTATACTCATAGTTAGAGTTAAATAGTTGAATATACTCCTGAAAATATAAAGGTTTATAACAATAATCTACATTACTTACAAGTTTATTCTATAATACCTACATATCTCAGTTGAGAATACATTGATTAGATACGAGATTTGATTCAATTGTGTTGACTTATGTAGGTTTTTAGTAATATTCGAACTATTCATTTTTCAAACCCAATCAAACTGAACTCAAGGTGTTTAGTTTGGTTCAAAAATCAAACTTAAAATTTAAAAAGATCAAACAAAACTGTTTTCTTGTAAATTGGTTTGATAATTGTTCTAGTATAATGAAATAATATCTTGAATTGATGAATAATGAAATAAAACATAGCCCAGCATGGAATTGAACCACAGTACTTATGCACTGATATGTCTTATTACCAACTGAGGTAGGTAGGTTACCTATCTTAGACTTTTAGTTTCTACTTACTTCAAAATATGAGTTTTCTACATCTTCAACTGATTTATAGTCAAAATTAATTGGTAAGCCAATGTAACAGCCACTACGTGTATTCAAGCAACCTATATTAATTGGTTTTAAACCTTCAACTACAAATGGTACAGAAAATGCTTTCTGAAATTCTGTAAATTTTAGGTCTTTAACAACATCATCATATCTTTTTTGAAGATTTTTGCTCAATTCTATTGGTTTACCATTCCTAGAAAGTACATATGCTATATAATTTTTATTATTATTTGTACAAATGATATATGTTGTTAATCAGCTTCTATCTTTTTCAAGAAAATTGAAGCTTGCAATTTTCTTCAGTATATGATTGTAACAATCAAAGTTGAATTATAAACCATATTATATCAGAATATCAAATATAAAAATTAGGTAAGAGTATCACAGGTATTCATATGATTTTACAATAATCAATTGAAAATTTAACCATTTATTAATAACGTTAATAGGATAAACATTTTTTATTCATAAAATCTGCATTATATTTATATAATCTCATTAGTAGTCTTTATGAATTTAACTTTTTATAAAATTAATTAGTTTCTAATCCATATTAGTAAATAATAAATAACAAAATATAAACCAGACTTCAAATAAATAATGAAAAATTTGTAGTATAAAAATGGAATAAGATATAAAAGTGTTATAATTTATTCATTTTATATGATATTATTAATTTTGAACATTATATTTTAAACATTCAATACTATAAAGTCTTCTAATTAAGGAAAATTTATTTATTATTTTAAATAAAATATTTAAAGAATAAATGGCTCTAATGAATTACATACTTGTATGCTTCTTTGTAATTTTTTATGTAAGTATTAAAAAATGTATTAGCTGAATATTCAAAAATTCCTGTCCCTATTACAACAGCACATAGACTATTGTTTAAAAAATTGGCAGTAACAAATTTTAATTTCATGATTAAAATTTCAATACTAATATTTAATTAATTAGTTAATTTTTTTTCAATAAGTTATACTATTCTTAAAGGACAATTTTCAAAACTTGATGATAACACAATACTATCAAATTACGTTATGTTTAGCATATAGTACATTACTAGTTAATTTGTAACAAGATATTTTGTTCGTTTTTTGACGGTATTACGTAATATTTATTACTGTCCAATAAAGACAACGATAACAGCCGGCCGGCAACTAAGACCGGCTCATCCACTACTATTACCAGAATCAACCCCACCCTTACACCAAGTAGATTATCATTACAATTTTTGATTACACCAGTATGTTGTTATGTTATGGAATTGTGGATGACGGAGTGGAATGGTACTTGTAATTTAACCGCCCATACTGATGTCAGTGAGCTAGTAGTGAAATTACCACGCTGTGTTGGTTATTCATAATTTTATCTTTTTAATGATACTTCGTATTAAAAAAAAAATAAGTTCACGTAAACGTTTTAATTCTATTGTTCGGTAGTTAGTGAAATCTGTATGCATAATCCTATTTAACAGTTGATACTTCTATGGTCCCATAGAGTGTTGTTAACAGATAATGTTTTATAATTATTATATAAATTTATAGTAATGTGGATACTTCGACAACTTCTTGATGCATTCTGGACTCCACATATATGGCTACCCCCTAATACGGAATGGTCAGATTTGGAGCCCAATGATCGAGTGCAATATACTAATTACAGGCATTTATTTTATGCATTTCCAATGGCAGTTATTATTATTTTAACTAGATATTTTCTAGAAAAGTAAATACTCTACAGACTTAAATTATCGAATAATTAATTTTATAATTTTTGTAGAAATTGTTTCGCTCCATTTGGTATATCCTTGGGCATTAAGAGTACAAAACCAAAAAAAGCACCAATAAATGAATTTTTAGAGGAGACATTTGTTAAAAGTAGTAAATGGAGTCATAAAGAAATTGTAGGTCTATCTAAGAGGTTAGACTGGACCGAAAGACAAGTAGAGCGGTGGTTAAGACTTAGAAGATCACAAGGAAAACCATCCACATTAATTAAATTTTGTGAAAGCAGGTATTGTAAAATAATTTATATATATATATTTTTTGAAATTAGTGAGTTATATTATAATAATAGTTATGTTATTAAATAATTAATAAAAAAAAAGTTTAAAGTCAGGATTTGCCAGTAGTTATTTATAAGAATTTTATTGGAAAATTATTAGAGTATTTTTACCATTTGATACTTTTTGTCAAAAATTCCTTTTTATGTGAGGATTTGTTATAAAGATAATATTAATATTATTAATAGTTCAAATTCATAACATTTTTAAGAGCTCATTATAACCATAGACAATTTGGCTGTTAAGCTTAACTGAATTCATACTAAATTCAATATTATTAAAGTTACAGTCATTGATCCTGTGAAGCCTGATAATTAATAACAGATAGATGTAATTTTTTAAAAAATAGTTTGAATAATAATGGGTAAAAGATAAATTATAAATAATAGATTATTAATAATATATTTTATTAAACACAAATGAATGTAAATGATAAATTAATTATTTATTCTGGTCAATTTTTTTTCCTTAAAAGTAGCATAGTTTTATTGCTATAATATTGAGTTATATATAATACTGAGTTTGTCACTTAATATAAAAACATGTAGTTTTATGTCATTTTACATCTCGTTTTTTTTTAGTCTTAGATTATAATATTAATGAACATCAGTTTTTAAAATTAAAAAACATAATCAAAGATTTATCCATGTTGTATGACACAAAATTAACATATTTTCCTTATATAGAATCTTCTAGTTCGGGCATTAAAAATTCTTATGTCAAACATGTTTATACTAATTTTAAATTGGTCACCTTGATTAAATTATTTCCTTAGTATGCTCTGTGCTCAAATACGAATCTGTATTATGAGAACCTCATGCATAGCTATCTCTTAGACCGTATACAACATTAATATTTGTACTTTGCTATATATATAATTGAGTATCAGCCACACAATTGATTTCCTATACTTTATTATCTGCAATTATCTTCATTGGATGATAAGACAGCACAAGTGAATTTAACCTTTTTTTTCTCAGATAAAATTGATACCAAAAATCTCCTTTCCAGATTCACCTTATAATCCCTACCTTGGCCACTCACTATAACTATCCTTTTTAATTTCTGTTTGTAACACAAAATATGTTGCTAATGAGTCACTTGTAAAAATGATAAAAATTGCCATTACAAAAACCAGCTCACTCTTCTGACTAACTTACTATATCTTTTCATATATTTTTATGTTTATATGTTATTCATTATATATTTTTGTGACTTAGTTTTTTATTATATCCTATAATTTTATGTTATATGAAGTTGCAAGTTATATGAAAATTTAACTATGTACTTAAATGTTTCTTGTAATGTAACTTTTTACCTGCCCATACTTCCAACAAATAAATGAATAATTATTTATTTTATGTATATTTTTTTTAATTATAAATTTTGTTATATTATTTTAAATGTCATACCAAGATTGCAAGCTTTCAAAAAAATATATGATAGTTCAATATTTGAAATTACGATAATAAATAAAAAAATTGATTGTATATTATTCATGTTTTAGTTGGAGATGTTTCTACTACACATTTTCTTTTCATTATGGTTTATTATTTTTATGGAATAAACCATGGTTATGGAACATAGATTACTGTTGGATTGGATTTCCTCATCAGGTAATGTAAAAATGTTTAACAATAATAAATTTTTTAATCATTATTATAATTATTTATTGCATTACTTCTATAAAATTTACTAATAGTACTTTGATCATTTGTATAGTGTACTGTATGAGTACTGAAATTTGTTTTATATTTTTATTCACAGGGTGTCACAAATGACACTTGGTGGTATTATATGATTTCATTATCATTCTATTGGTCTTTGGCTGTTTCTCAATTTTTTGATGTGAAACGTAAAGATTTTTGGCAAATGTTTGTGCATCATATTTGCACAATATTCTTGCTGTCATTTTCATGGATTTGTAATTTTCATAGAATGGGTACTCTTGTTCTTTTGACACATGACTGTGGTGATATATTCTTAGAGGTAACATAGTTAATTTAATCTAGTGAAAAATTGATATATATATATATTTATATGATATTGATATGTGTGTTATGTAATGATATAACATTTTGTTATATCTGATAATTGAATAAATTTTAAATTGATTTTCAAAAAGGTATAGGTCAAAAAAAAAAGATAATTCAAATTTGAAATAGGAATTTAATTAACTTACTAATGTCAAGGAGCTTTAGTTTTTATACTTATCAATAAGCTATAAATTAATTTTGATATTGTTTTGTATATTTTTATTCTTCATGTCAAAGTTCTGAAGGTTATTTTTCAATAAACTAGAAAAAAGATCATAGATAACATAACTCTGAATTGTTATTTTTAATTTAAGTAAAATACTTTCCATAATGACAACCTTCAATCAAATTCCTGTTATTATTTTGTTAAAAATAGTTTTACATGGAATTGAGACTACTTATTTATGTATAATTTTAACTATAATAATAATAAAAATATACATAAATCTAGATATAAAATATAAATGCTAATAGTGTGTTTCATAGCTATTATAATAAATATATAAAAAAAGAGTTAATTTAAAAATGAAAATAGTATACCGCCAACTTTATTTAGTTTAATTAATAAAACTATCGCAATAGAGTTTTACCAAATATTTATGGCGTTTTTAAAATGTCAATCATTCCAAGGGACAAGAAAGCATATTAAATTATTTTTTTTAGAAAATGTTGGTTTATACAATAATTATTACTGAATTTACATGTATATCTTCATTAAACTGTTTTTATAATAGTATAAAAAACTAGATAAAAATTTTTTAATTATTAATGTAATTGTAATATAAACATACAAAATTTTAACATATAACTATTATTTTACACTATGTGTTTCTGAACTTAATGTAATTCTATATGAAGTAATGCCTAATGGTGTTTACTAATGACAATTGAAACAAAAATGTATCATACCATAATATTTCCCTCAAAATTGTTATATAAATTGAAGAGTCATTCAATTTTATTTTTCTAAATAAAAAATGGCCTTACCATAAGTAATGCAGTAAAAGTTCATATAAATATAATATTTCGCTTAAAAAACTATATTTTTTTAAATCTAGTGTTTTTGTAATTAAAAATATCAGTTTTCGTAAAAAATCGAGTAACTCCTCAATTCGTTTGAAAATTTTGCCGGACATATTATTGTCTGGCTAATTTTTGTTTTCGGAGAAATCTAAGGTGTAAACTACGAAAAACCATAATATTAAATTCAAAAAAGTCCTTCATCAGTGTATTCGTAGATTACTACTTCATATAGAATTACATTGGGTTTAGAAACACTGTATATCGTAGACGTGCAAAGTTTTACCCTAGCGATTTTTTTTTGAAACATTTGAACAATTAAAATAAACAAAAAATTAATTTTATAAATTTTAATAGTTAAATAAAAAATTATAGTTATTCAAAGTTTTTCAATTTTTAATTATCGTGGCAAAATAAACAAATTAAATTTTCATTCTGTCACTTTTTAAAAGATAGAGACAATAAATTATGCGACTTTTTTTATCTTCTATGGTAATGTAAAATCCGAAAACAATACAAATTTTGACTCATATTATAAGTCACCAAATAGAAAAAATGTTATAAGTGAAAGTGAAATTTCATCTTAATCGCACTTTTATGTAGAAAAATAATAAATTTAAACTAATTTGCTAACTAAAAAATCGTTTTTTTTATGCCGTTTAATTTATAATACTATAGCTCGATAATTACCATTTATAATTATTATTTTTAAAGAGCAGTTTCTAGAAATAGTGCAACAAGTTTTGCAGGTATATGAGGATAAACTCCAAAACGGCACAAAAAACTATGCAAAATCGTTTTAATACGACTGAAATTAATTTTAAACTATTTGTATTTTTTATAAATTGATAAAAAAATATTGGATACTTAATTTAAATAGAGCTTAATTAAAAATATGAATATTTTGTCATAATACAATATTCTGATTAGTTTTGTTTTTTTTTATCTTTATATACCGGTTTTTTAGTTAGAAAAAGAAACACGAAATTTAGTTTCCTTGTTTAATTTGTATGATAAAAATAAAAATTAAGATAAATTATAATATTTGTATCACAACCGAAGTAAGGAATTTTTTGATTTATTTTTGTTGCCTCCGAAACTTATATACGTTGTTCACCTATTACTATAATAATAGTTAAAGTGATGAATTACCAATATAATTATTATATTTTCTCAACTATTAAAAACATGTTTTATTAATTTCACAGTAAAATTTTATATTATAATTTTACTAGTAATTTTGTTGTTGTTTTTTATAAAAAATGAATGCGAATTTTTTTTATTCGCTTATACAATCCATTAATGGTCATTGTGGCCTTCTCCAGATTTTTTTAACCTGGAATACTTCGGGACGGGTAATTATTCCGTCACGTGAGAGAGCAATGGCGACTTCCTAACTGATTTTTCGCTCACCAAAATGTCGACCTTGACCGAATATTTTTGTTAGTAAAATAAAGTTACGGCATGTTATTCGCATAATTTTTTCCAACAAAAATTTTAATGTCACGAAGTTTTTTAAAAAACCAAAATGTATCTTTTAAATTACTTTTGATTTAGATACATAATTGACGAACATCTTTTAGCTTCGATGCGAAGCTAAGCAAGTATTTTATTAACAAACTAATAAATAAAACTACCAGCATTGTGTGTTAAATTACGTAATATGTTCTGATACATTAGATAATGTTTTACTTAACTATACAAATATTTAATTGATTTAAGAGCCATAAAAAATTAATTCCGTGTTATTTTTATTTTATAATTGTTCGGCGTTTATATTTATTCATTATGTATATTGAACTTGGAGAAATGGAATTCGAGATAAAAAGTTTAATCAATAATTCACTATTAATCATTTCGTGTTTTGATTATTGAATTATTATGTCGTTCGTAAAGAAAACAGCTACAAAAACAACTTTGTGTTGACTATTAGTGATTATCTAATTGTAGATTTGAATTTCACGTACACTGAAAAACTGTAATGACTACGACGTCTATTCAATGGATGCATTTATAGTGTTAACTAATAATGTAATATGTATATAATGAATAATTCAAAAAGTTTTTCAGGTTTGTCCATAGTAGACAGAATTTATATTATATTACTATAATTAGTAATCTCCAAACCACAGTTTCGAGTTTTTTATATCTACTCGAATTGTTCAAAATTTTTACATAATCTCTAAATGATCTATTATCCAATAAAATTCAATCGAAAATTATGAACTACATGACAAATTGTCATTTTCGTAATTTAAATAATGGAAATAATTATTATGTAATTTTTATTACTATTTGAGTTTTAAATAGTAGGAATAAGTCAGTTATTATTTATCAAGAGCTAATTTATCTAAAAAATTAATTATTTCCATGTATTTAATTATTAAAACCCTCTATAGTCAAAATCTGTGATATTATAAACAAAAAGTAGATAAAAATCTGACTATGATTCAATCACTTTGTGGCAAATCTGCATGAGTAGTTAAATTATTTGACCTCTAAAGTCTATGAATAATATCAGAAAAAATTTAAATTATTGTTATTTTAAAATTATTAGGTATATTATATTTCTTCTAAAAAATAATAAAAATGAAATTATAATAAAAATAATTGTTTAAACCTAGGAAATACAAGCTCTTCTAAATTATTATAGTTAAATTATACGTCATAAAAAAAAAATATTTGGTTTTGGAGGCCAATAGAAAAGCTTTTTGAATAAACAAAATAACTCAATTATTTTTTAAATCTGATTTTTGTGGATCATTAAATAATTTAATTATAAAGACATATTTTTGATCTACTTATGTTTTTTAATTAATTGTCCTAAAATTTACTTTTTTATTCATGTTTTTAGTAAAACATTTATTTTAAATAGTTTTTACAAAAAAATTAATTTAAAATGACTAGATTTAACATTCTTTGAAAATATTTTTATGTGTTAACTATTATGCTTGGTGGTTTTACAATAGCTTTAATGTTTTATCAAAGAATATTTCTAAATATATTTCAAATTAAAAAATGTGTAATAATGAACTTAAATAGTCTTATTATTTGTTTTTAATTTTTTTTCAGCTTGCAAAAATGGCCAAGTATGCTAAGTATCAAAGACTGTGTGATATCACATCTGTGATTTTCATTGTTGTTTGGTTAACAACAAGAATTGGACTGTTTCCCTTTTGGATACTATACAAGTTAGCTTATACATTGTTTTATTTTGTTTTTAGCCTTAACTATACTACATTAATTAAATCACATTTATATTACATGGATATGATTATAAAATATTATTTTTCAGTACATCTGTTGATGCACCAAGAATTGTAAATCAAATGTTCCCAGCTTATTATATATTCAATAGTTTACTATTCCTTTTGCTTGTACTTCATCTATACTGGACACATCTAATACTGAAAATAGCATATATTTCATGGAACTCTGGAAAAGTATGTTTACATATAGATTAGTGAATTATTGCAACATTTAAGAAATTAATTTAGTTTTAATAAGAAGTAAAAGTGTGTGATTATTATTATTCATTTAATTTTGTATTACCTAATAATTATGAGTGTAAATAATATTTATTTATGCTAAACACAGGTAATTGTATATTTAATTTATTTGATCTTTCAATGGTAAAGCATAAACTATAAAAATGAGTGTATTGTGTATATTTTCAATTAAAAACCATTTAAAAATTGTTTTATACAATTTTAAAGAATAATTAATTTTTAATGATTTTTTTTTCCTAAATATAAGTTTTTTCTATAAGTTTTTAATTAAAAAATATTAATTGTGATTTTCATTTTGTTTTCAATATATCTTTGGTTTAATTTACTTATCACTTATTAACTATTTTTCAGAAGATAGAAAAAAAAAGTTTCATTAGAAAATTACATGTACTGTTTTATAAACATTTTAGGGTGAAGGAAAAATATGAAAATATTTCATTAGTTCCAAAAATGTTAACTCTGTTTTCATCTATGCCCGAAAACATTAGAATATTTTTTATTTCAGTTCATATTTCCATTGATTGAGTTTCTGTATTTACTACTTTTATAAATAAGGCAACTCCTAAATGATTTAAAGGAACTTGTAAATAACATTTTATGTGCATTAAATATTTTATTTATTTTGATTTTTATCTTAGATTGATGGTGATATCAGGAGTTCGTCTAGTGATGAGGTCACATTAGAAGATGATTCCAATGATAGTAAAGTTGACTCTCCTAATGGAACTTTGTCAAATGGCATCACAACTTAAAATATGTCTTTAACTTTTACTATTTTTGTTTTTGTTCACTTTTTATTATGATTTTTTATCACATATGCACACATTAGGTAAAAAATTACCTATCATAGTACCATCACATTTTGTAAATATATGTATTCCCAGATATTGGATGTTTTCATTATTTCCTACTTAATATTTAAGACAATAAATCAAGTTTGCTTTTATAAAATTACCTTATACTAAAATATTATAAAACTAGCTACTTAATTAAAATTCTATATTGTTAAAATTTTTAGGAAGCATTCAAGTTTGTAAGTTTTGTCCCTAGTCATCAATTAAATAAAATTAATTCCTTTTGGAATTTAATTATTAATTATATAAACATAATTTTTATAAGTGAAACATTTTCATTTATTAATTTTAAGTTGAGGTTTATTTTGTTATTCTATTTTATTAGAACTTTATTGATATGAATATCCATGAATAGCACTATAATACAACTCTGCTTAAAATTATATCTCTTACTTCTAATTACAAAAGAAAAAAGTGTTTATACAAGAAACCACTTTTATAAGACGTTTGTATTTATTATTAATTTATATGTAAAATAAAATGTATTTCTCTTCTCATATTGATTATTTATTTTATTTTCAAATGTAAAAATGAGATACTCTAAAAATATTACCTTTATAGCGAATTGTTTGTTGACATTTATTGATTACTGAAAGCCTGGTACAAGCAGACACCACTAGCACTTTAACTTACACATTGTTCCAGTAAACTGTTTTATGCTCCTATGTGAGAAATAAAAATATCCAAGAGTGTTAGTTTGTAAAATAATGGGTAGTAGTGTAACGGAATCTACATCTTCAGATGTTCTAGATTTAATCAATTTTGACGCTTGCGGTCATTGGAGTCCTTATGTGTTGACTAGTCCTAGGTCTCTTTTAGCATGTCGGAAAGCCAAAATCAAGGCATGTAAAAACAATTATTTTTATTACATTTTTAAATTTATTAAATAGTAGAAGGAAGGAGTTCTTACTAGTAAATATTTTTTATCTTGGTAGCCGAACGAACTGCTTTATAAGAGTGCAGCAGATGTTGCAAAAGATCTAGGTGTTTCAATCGAATTGGCTTATCCTGTTTATAAAAAACATGAGAAACTTAGGCAAGGTAATATGAGCATTTGTTAGAATATTTAAATAACTTATTGGACATATTTAAATGTGTTCTTCTAATGATTTATGACTGATTTTTGTTAATGGAATTTCAATTTGACTACATTGTTTAAGAAGACAATTGTAATTTTTAACAAAAAGCTGCACCGTGTTTTTTTTAATTTTTCATTACTTAACAATTATGGAAGTTTTTTAACTTAGTATTTAATTATATTAATCAAATAAAATACGATGTCAAATTGTAAAGAAAGTTACCGTTTTTTAGAGAAACTTGAAGTCTGTCGCCAAGAACGAAATAAATATATAAATAGTGAAAATAGCTTACATTTTAATAAACGTAAGAAACAAAAGAAGAAAATATGTTTTAAAAACGAAATAGCGTTTTATCGAAACAATATTGCTTCCAATATGCGCCGCATAAAGTCCATACAAAATAAATTGGACGAAGATCAAAAGTATATTTTAAAATTTACTGCAAAATGTATTTTCCACCGCGAAGTTTTATTTGAAATCTATGGAAACTTTAAACCCATAGCCATTTTGGTTCTTGAGATTTTCTATGTGTATGATTTTCTATTTTTAAATAGTTTTACAATAGAAAAACATCGACGTGATCTAGAAATCTCTCAGTCAGTATTAATCTTTAATAACTTTAAATTTAACTCTGTTCACTATGACCACGTACTATAATTTATTTCACATCCTTAACTACCCACCGTGAAACACGGACCTTAGTGACTATTACTATTAATATATATTTTCTTCTCTAAAAATATTTTTATACTATATTACAAATAATTTTCCTGAATATTTTGGCGACCAATTTAATTCTGGAAGGGGTGGCGGCTTAGCTATCACGAACTCCGGGTATATTGATTTGAATGTTATTTTTACCCAAGATAATAACGTAATTTCTAATTGGAAAAATTGTACGCTAAAAAGTTATCCTTTACTTACTGTCATTATTAAAAAATGTATTTGATTCGCTGTACAGAACTGTTAATCCATCGCCTAAAAAGATCAAGAAACGTCGTGTACGGTCAAAAAGCATAAGCGATTTAATGGAATTAAAAGAGTTGTGTAAAAAAGTCGATCGTATTGCTTTTTTTGAACGAAATGTCATAATTAATAGTAACGTTGACAACAAACGGGCCGTAAAGAGGAGAACGCGTTCCCATACAAATAATTCAAGGTAATGGAATTTTAATTTATAAAATGGTTACAGGTAATGATTTTTTATAAGAAAGTGTTTTTTTTATTGTTATAGGAGTTTACTGGATTTAGACGAATGTCAATTGCCAAATCAAGATAGGAAGATTTTAGAAAGTATGCGGCGTAAGAGAGAAGAACAGCAGCACTGTGAGGACCTTTCGCAGCGTGTAAATTTATTTTGGGAACAAATGCACGAAGAAGAAAAACTATTAACAAATGAACAGAAAAAAAAATGGCAGAATTTCGTCACAGCTAAACGCAACGTAGAGAACGGTGTGAATAATATACGGTTAGAAGAACTGCGACAAGCATTTGATAGAAGTCAGAGGAAGTTAGAAGAACAAATGAAGTGTAGGGATGAGAAAGTATCTGAGCTGAAGCGTGAAATTTTGGAACGTCATGTAATTAAATTTAATTACTTGGAATAAATTTACCACCTTATTATATTTGCTTTATGTGCTCTTATATCATATTCCTAAGGAATCGATTATTTTAGGAATTAGAAAATTCTCTTAAACGTTCTGTGGAAGTCAATAAGCGAGAAATTGCGAGTAACAATTATAACTGGGAACACATGAATGCCTTGACGCGAAAAAAAGAACTAAATGATAAAAGTATTCTTAAGCAAAAAAAAGCCAACGAATTTAAAAACAAATCTTTACAAATGGCTCAAGAGGTACTAACATAAAAATTACTGATCGTTTTGTGTCTAATTTATAAGTAAATGAATAATTATAAAAGGTTTTTCAAGATTCATCGTGTACTTTTCAGACTAGGTAGAGCTTGTCGTATTGCAAGCTTTAATTTTTGTTAAATTTTTAATATATACATTTTTAATTTGTGTGAATCAGAAAGCCAAGACGTTAAATAGAATGGAAGAGCTGAGACACGCGGTGCAAATGGAACATATACAGACTCGACATGACAATGCCATTCGCCGTAAATTTGACGAATGTCAAGCTAAAGAGCAAAGGGCTTTTCAAAATCATTTGGAAAAAATGGCTACACGGATGCGAGAATTGGCAAATAAAAGGTAATATTTTTATGAATAATTCCAGTTCAATTCACAGTTATGTTTTGTACTAAATTAGTTGCTGTAAAAGTATTTTGTTGCTGACGTTGCGGCAAATTAAAACTTTGTACCTAACAATAAAAACTGATATTGAAAACGTTGCATTCGAAATAAAAAGTGTACGCAATGTAAAAGAGGTTATCTAACAGAAAGTTAATAGATAGATTCTATTACTCGAAGAAAATAATCTTCTGAACAAATATTTATTGTTCTTATCTAAAAATGTGTTGATAGTTGAATGACTCGTCGAGCCGTTTAAGTAATTAGACGAAACTAATTAAGTGTAATAAATTTCAATGAGAAAGGTTATTAAGACTTTCGTCTTTCAATAACTTGTTGCAGGTGTTGTATTTTTAAGTGATTTTTTTGTCGTTAAAATTCGATTTTCATCACACTAAACAAAGATTTATAATGCAATACAATATATTTAGGTTACATTCATATTTTAGTAACACACAAAATTACATAAAAATTATATTAAGTTTGGTTGTTGAATTTTATAAATTGTCTGCCAATACTAAACTGTCAGTCATTAATATGACTGTTAAATTAAACTATTAATTTTAAGTATTTCATTATAAGTAATAAATTTAAAGTTCAGATTACTAACAAGACGGTTTATGGTATTTAAATATTAAATATAAAAAAAGGATCACTGAACATAGTTAAAAATCAATCTTATTAAATGCTAATGTTTTATAATGATCTTTTATGTTTTTTTATTGTAGTGTTGCTGCTTAAAATTTGTCTAAAAATACTTGAATACATACTTTTTTGAATTGCGTGTTATGTTATTTAAGATGTAGAATTTTTTAGTTATAAAGTGTATATAGTCAACTGTTTTCTCACTCGTAATTTATAAGTTAATCTTTTACTGTTAGTACAATATTTGTACTTTGGTATGTAAGCATATTAATTTAGTCTACAAAAATAGAATTTTAATGTTTATTTTAACATACTTTATCTAATTGTAAGTTATGTCTGATATACCAGCATTTGTGTAATTTATTCTTAATAAAATAACTTTTTTAAACAAATAATTATCTCTTTCTTTACTGTATTGGATGTAATTTAAATAATTAATAAATAAAATAAAAACATAATATGTACATTTTTTTTTTAATACATCATTTCTTTATAAATTTCAACTGATTATTTTATGTTGGAGTTTAAACTTACTATTTCTTATTTTTAACATTTTGAAATTACATTTCATTATTTATTTTATATTATAAAATTACTCGTATTGTTAAAAATTAATTTTAAATACAAACGATACTATTAAATGTAAACTATTAAGATAGGTTCCCAAAAAATAGCGGTAAAATATTTTTTAAAGCTTATCTTTTCCTCGAGAATGTTTTACATTAATAAAAATGTATGGATTAAAATTTGTATTAATAAAAATGTATGGAAAATGTATTTTTACTTTATCATTAATTAGTATTGACATTTTATTTGTGTAAACATAAAAATGCATTACTTGCATAATCCATTGGTATACTTCATAGGCGCGATCTTGGGGTCTAAAGGTGACTTAGCCTCCATAATTCTATTTCAGCCCCTCGAAAATATGAAAATTACATGTAAATCTATATAGAAATATTTTTTATGAGTAGAGAAATTAAGGTAGATCGTCCAAACTTTTTTCAAATTGCTTCTATGGCATATTTAGTTTACAGTTAAACGACTTTCTTCATTTTCTTGAACATGATATATATATTGAATTTGACTATAATATTTAAAAATTTCTTTTCATGTTTTAATATGTTTCATTTTTTATCAATGTTTTACTGTTTACTAATTTCATATAAAAAAAAACATGTTTAATAGGTTTTTGAATTTTCTGTTTACAATTTTAACATGTATATTTTAACGTTGTTGATAGTTTGTTCGTTTCTGGCATAATATTTTATCTATTAAAAAAAAAAGTAAATAAAAATAACACATCATGGTAAAGTTATTGTACATATAAACATTTCATTTATCATCATGTGGTAACTGGTAACAGAATATTGAACTATTTATGATTACCGTTAACACAACAACAATTTCAAAACTGCGCGATTTATGGTAAGTTTTCGAAGAAAAAATATTTGTCTTATCAACTAAAATTGGATTTATTTCTAAGGTTTCATTGATTACATTTAAATGGCTCGGACCGGTTTGAGCATAGCTCATAGTATAGACCGGGTCAAATGTCCCCATATGACGCCATTGAATTTAACTCGGCTAATTGTCAAAATAAAGCGAGTAACGAGAAATATTGACTAGTTTTCAACTTCACAGGGCAGCAGTGTATAAATTCGACACTTAATTATTTGCAAATACACTAATTACATGTAATTAGTACTAAAACGTATAAACAGACCGACACTTGCTTTCTTTACAGTGAGTAGAATGGTGATACCAGTCGGACTATTGTTAGTAAGTGTGACATTTGATGACGTATAGCACTTGGAAATTCCATCAACTGGTGGCACATCACTAATTGATACGGCGAAGTAGTCAATGAGCGGAAAGTGATACGAAACGCTTTACTGGCGATAAATAAATTGGGTGTAGCGTTGGACAATATACGACATACTCCTTGAGGGACTTAATGCGACGAGGTTGGTCGGAGCTGTTCTCACACGGACGGCGACAACACGTAAAAGTCATCTGTCGATTTTCTGGGACAACGTATCGAATTTCCTGGCGTCTACCTCGTAAATTTGCACACAACGCTTCAAATGTCTATGGTGTTGATTAGGTTGCCTACTTAAAGCTCCGCTATATAAATACTCCGTTTTTATTTTGTAGCGATTTATCTAGTCTTTTTGAAATTTATTTTTATCCAGTATTATTAATCGTATCTATTATTTTCAATCGATTGTATGTCGGTTATTAGTCGATTAGAAGTATTAAACGTTTTTAAGGGTTCCTGCAAAAATAACCTATTATTTATTGTTGAATTATTTTTTTATTTATCTTAAATTTAAGTTTGCAGAGGGAACATCACATGGGTCGAGTTCATAGAGTAGCCAGAGAGTTAGAGGAAGGTATGCAAAGATGGCAGGATCGTGTATTGGTTATGCAGTATGAACAGCAGAGAAGAGCAAAAGAGAACGCAGAATTGTTCACAGACAGCAAAAGACTAAGAGCTGAAATCGAAAACAAACGCAAATCTTTAGAACATTCCGTTAAAATGCAAAGGTATAATACATTTTTATTATTACTCGAGTTTAAAATAAAATAATTAGAACTTTTTATATAAAAGAATTCCAATAAAGTTTATAATTAGCAATAAAGCATGATTAGTTATTCCCATTATTATAAAACACTAATAGCTTGAGGAAGTTGAGCAGTAAACGAGGAAGCCTTTTTTCTTAACATTCATTAAGAATCCATTTGGCAAATTGTTGTAAGAGATTATAAACCAGTTCTGTAACCTATTTGGAAAACCAATTCAAAACGATAAAAAATAGTTATTTAAACGTTTTAATTTAATTCTAAAGAATCATTCATCATTACCGTATATGATAACTAGGACCACAGCAGAAAATCAACAAAAAAAAAATCAAAACTACTTAGAACTATTACTTCTTTTATGTCATTTTTAACTTTTTTTTTTTAGAATAAAAGAGTTGGAAAATGAGCGGTTATGCATCATAAAAAAAGAAATCGAAGAGGAGGAAGACAGAATAAGAAGAATTAGGGAAAAAAAAAATTTAGAAATCCAAATGAGTAGAAAATTGGCGTCTAGTACAGCAGAACTTCGGAATGAAATTCGGTAGTTGCTAATTTATGCCATTTTTTTAATAATCTATTAATATAAGTTAAGAAATAAATACTTAACTATAAGGTCATACATATACTCTCTTTACAAAAATTATATTATTATATTAAAATGAATGTCATTAGTAAATTTCATTAGTTATTTTCAATTCAAAGAATATTTTCTACCTTTACAAAATACATTAGTATGCCGGTGATTTTTCTGTTAACGCTATTGTTATTTTCTTTGAAATTATACACAGTGGTCTAAAAATCAACATCCTATTACTAAAGTCTATTTATTTTGTGAGCACATCGCTTCACTATATTCTCATGTTAAAATAAAAGAATGTTTAATTTTAACTAGTTAAAACATAGTTTTAGTTTTACTAGGGTTACTCTTTGCTTTTCGATAACTTCATAGTAAGTAAACTGAGAATATAGTCATTATTTATAAACTAATTAATTTCGCATATAAAAAAATCGATTATTTGAAAAATGAATTACTCTGTATACTTTTTAGTAATTTTATTGAATCGTCAATGCTTTGAATTTGGAGCTGATTTTATTAATTTAATGATAAGTCGCACATTATGTTTGCGTCGTGGGTTGTAGCCTCTTAAAATTGTTATAATTAAATTACGAAGAGTATAACAATTCATTTTAATTGAACAAAAATCGTTATTAAAAATAAAAAAAAGTGTTGCAAGTGACATTTCCTTTTTCAGACGCGGTGCAGACGTTTTAATTCAACGGACATGAGTGAAATACAAGAATGAACCAATCACAGTAAGTCAAGGAGTATATATAATTACAGCGATTGAAAAATTAATAATAACTGTACACGATGTGTCTATTTATATTTAAAAAGAGTTATATTATTAGTTGTTAACGATTTTTCGTACATACTTTGCGTAGCGTCTATTTATTTTAAACAAAAGTCTATTAATGTTATTTATGGTAATTATAAGAGGGCTATGAAATTCACAGTGTATTGACTTGTTAATATATTTTTAGTGTTAAAATATCGTAGGTGGTTGGAGGTTTTTTTTTGTACTTGTATAATTTATTTACAAAATAAATTAAGTTTAATTGATAACTCGTGTCTTTTATTTAGTAATTTTTTGTTACGTTTAACACCCGAAGTAAGGTACATACTTATAAAGAGGTTGGAGGCGATGGTAAGTTGGCCTCAAAAATGTGAAGTAGTGGTCTCTATATTTTTATTATAACGTAATTATTTGAAAGATGCGTTACAGGAATCTTTTAAACAATAAAAAACCCATACTTCACAATATCGTTAATAACATGAAAATATTTCAACGGACGTCTATAGGGACGTTTTTCATTACAATGGACTCGTATTTTTATTGAATGTTCTTTGACTGTCTACTTTGTCGGGGTGTCGACAACTAAGAAGTGTAAACCAAAAAAATCCCGACCGAATAGTGTTATTGTTTCGGTTAAATTACAACCGTTCAGGTTAGCTATAAATAAAATACAAAATTCTCTCGATATGACTTTGTTTGATTACCCTCCGAGGTATCTTTATGGCTTCTGGATTTCAGCAAGGACCAGGTAATCACGTGGGCAGTAACTTATTGAAAATCTGTGTATCACACGTGGTCAACGTTAATCTGTTTCGGAACATGGCGGCAGGTATTCCTCTGTAGTGTGAAGAAAACAGGAAGCCGGTGGCAAGTGAGTACACACAATGAAACTACTACTGGTATTACACTGTAGTGCGGCCCAGCGGAGATCTGCACGGACCCTTTTGCCGGTCAGTGCGTTTTTAATGAAAATAACCAACAGCAATGTTTATAATTGTACGGGGATTTATTGTGTGCCGGACAAAGGTCAGAATTTCGGCTACTGGATTTTGATTGACGTTTTCCCTACGAATGCGAAATGCACGAAAAATATTATACTCTGTGTAATATTTTTTTGCAGCCCACTGACTTATGATTTGTTTGTGTGTGCCGCAGTGGTGAAGATGATTTCAAGAATGTGGCCAATCTTTAGAAGATTCAATTAATCTTTATAATGCAGCAGTGTACACATCCCCAAATAAGAGAATCGCCGAGTTAAACATATGCTCAGGCCTGAAAGTATTTACATTGTTGTTTTTATAACCGGCATCGTTTTAATGGTGTATGCAGTGGGTGCACTTTGCACGGGAACTGCAAGTACTACACAATTAAAACTGTTAAATTATAGATTATAGTTTATAATTTTTATGGGGTACCAATGCGATATGAGTTCTATCCCGAGACAATGGCGTAGTCCGGATATTTACTCGTGGGGGAAATGTAACTCTTTTTGCTTTACCACAAGGTGTTACTAGTGCTAAAGTATTACACTGTTAACAGTGACAATTGTCAATGACTGTAGCCACTTTAGTCACTGCCACTGCCCAAAGACGTGGCATTTGATTTGGCATAAATTCAACTCGCTACAACGTTTTAAATCTTTTATCTTAAAATAAATTCAGTAAACATTTGACTGTATTGAAGTGGACAGTTATAATGATGCGTATTTTTTGTCGAGTTGGTTTTAATGTTATTCGGTATCCGATTTTTTTATATAACGTTCAACGAACACATCGAGTCCGTGCACATTAACTGCAATTAATTGCATAATGTTGCAATAGAGTATACATTTTTCATAGACCACTTGAACATTTTTTCGCACAACGTTTTAAATATGTTTTTAGCGACTATGTACACTGTTGTGTTTTATATACTTAATAACTTTTTAACCGTTAGTAATTGTCACAAATGATTATATAGAAAACGTCGAGTGTTCAAACAACAAAAACATTGAGAAAATCGCGTTCTCCATCACACGGTCGTCCATTTTTAACAAGAGACTTTTTACAACCGCGATCATTGTTTTCTATAAAAGGGTGTGGATACATTGTTTCGAGGTATTAATGTATGGCAAATCCTATACTATATACTCGTGTATATTGTGCAAATTCAATGCGACAGGGTACACTGTGCACCCTTTGGGAAATGTCGAAGTGCAACCTTGCCTTTCTATAATATAAACGAGACATCAAACACAGCATTTGTCAAGTATACTCGAGTGTATTTAACGACTAAGAATTAACATCACTGCAAAAATAAAAAATGACACCATACAAATAAGTTAATTTAATGTTACAGTTTTGTCTAAGGCTTCACAACTAATAGGTACATGCATTTTCTTAAGTACTTGTAATCATTTTGTTGAAATTCAACTAAGAAATAAAATAAAACCTATTACTCCAACGATGAACACATAGGCAATGCGTTATTACCGGATAGGATTAGTGATTAATGTTTATTTATTGAGTATACACGAAAGTTTATGATTTCATAAGTTTTCTGCGTTTCCCAGAAATCTAAATTAAATACCGTACAGAAACGTTTAGCTGAACATTTGTGTTTTAGTTTACTATGAAACCGGTTGTACGAGATACACCTACATACATTGGGAAGTCACTATTTTTAAACCCTAAAAATGTACCATTACATTTTGAGTTTTATTTCAATATACATGCAACGTGTAATCTAAATCAAAATTGTACTTTTTCCAATTTCTTGTGGTATGGTTTTTTAGTGTTAAACAAAGGAAACGACGCGTACTAGTGTAGGGATTTTTGAATCGCTAACGGTTCTGGTGATCGAGAGCCACGCGGACTCCAATTTGTGAGGTTCAGCAAAACAGGTAAGTTTAGGCATGTTAAGAAAAGTGATAGTTGGTCGACAAAAGGGTTAGTTTTTTGAAATATGTAGAAGGAAAACAAATTCCAAAACGGCTATCGACGTCTCCCGGGTTGTTTATGCACTAGGGTATTATTTTCTCTTAGATTATAATATTATTGTTCGACTAAAGCAAATGATGTTTACACAGATAACACTAGGCCTTGTCATTTGTGACGTTAAATACCGCGAGACCCGACCGCAGAAGATATTCGTCACCCGTGTTTTCGTTTGTCATTATCATCGTGATATATGTATATTATTATTATTATTATCATGTGTGTGTGTATAAAATACAAAATGACGGCAATACTTCGGAGTCGGGAAAAGTATACAATACAAATTCCTCGGGTACTTTTGCTCCCCTACCCCCGTTCTCCGGCAGTTAGGGGGCGAGGAGAGAGAGAGGGCGCGATGAGACTCTTTAGGGCTTTTGTGATAGAAAATTTGGTGCAGCGGGCGGAATGACACAAAGACTTGACAAAATATTGCTTAAATAGACTCCGCGACACCGGTGTGTGTGTGTATTATTCTGCGGTGTATTTACTTTTGCCATTGTGCCTTTGCTCTTGTTGCTCTGCTGATCTCTCTCTCTTTATTTTTCATTCGACGTTTGAAGTCCGGGTGACATTTTTGCTTAGATAGCTATCACAGGTCAGCTGCCGTTGTTAACGCGTATTCAGATTTTTGCTCGATTGGTCTTCGATCCATAAATAGTACACGTACTGTCACAATAAAAAAATGAAGAAGAAATGAACCGTTTTGCCTGTCGTGGCATTTCGTGTGTGTTGACGAAAATGGCGGTGCAAACCTATTTTTTACCTAGAAAACTTCCCTAATCGTGCCCTGGCCAAACGTCTCCTCCTTTCAACGTTATAGGTAGTACACGGTGTGACCTTAACGAAAATTGACAAAAAAGGTTAATTATTTGTTCGAGAACATGTTATAACGGTAAATTGTGCCAAAACTGGTAAACCGTCTGAACCCTTTTCCCGTAAAATGTTTTTATTTTTACTATTGTTCCAATTCAATTTTTATGTAGATATGATTATAATTGTTTTTAAATTGACTTCTTCGTCAACAGCGTTTCGGTGTAAATATTTTATATTTTATTTTTAAATGGTTAATGACAGGTCGTTTTTTTGTTAATGTATTTGTTACAAATTATGGACGTGTAAGTGAAATTAATAATTCATTTAATGTAACCCAGTAAAAATTGTCGCCTTCCTTAAAACTTGTTTCACTTTTAGTGTGGTATATTGACTACCAATTTCTAAACAAAAACATAGCTGTATACGTCAAAATACGAACATATAAGTTATGTAACATCATATAAAATAAAAAATTATTCTTTAACTATGAATTGTTATTAGTACTAGTATTAGTTAAGTAAATCATTTTATTGGTGTTTGTGTGATGTTGGGACAATGCGCTCAAAAGACAACTGTTACAATTACTCCGTTAGTCGATAGCTTCGTCTAGAAAATATTTAAGTAGTACTGAGAAGAAATAAAATAATTTAATTAAACATATGAGTATTTATACTGTACCTTGAAAAATTATTTGTTGAGCTGATTCACCTCAATGATTTCAATATTGTGCGAATTTAAATGCTGTTTTTAATGCTCTCATTAAAGTCGCACAAATATTTAATTATCGTAATAAATATGTTTTTTAAGTCAAATATTATTATTTAAAAAAATTCACCACATAATGAGTACCAGTACTATTCCACTCGAAGAAGTCGGAGGTGATTGCAATTCATTTAATTTTTTTGCTGCAATATTTATTAGGGATTTATTGGATACACATTTAAAACTAAACATATTTAGACATTACATTAATAAAAAATTAAAAACTTTATGAATAGTATATTATATTAAACATAACATTATATTAAATGTAATAATGTTATAAATTTTATAACAAATAACTTGATATACAGATATTATAAAACAAATCAAATAAGATATTTTATTATATAAATCATTTACATACGATATAAAGGACTATTTAAAACATTATTTGTTTATCTGATGTTGAACAAAAAATAAGGATTATGGTGGGGCTTAGTATTAACACTGTGCAATACAAAAGATAATACCTCTAAAAATTCCGGATTATCAACCAAACCATATAAAATAAATAGCGTATCTAATTATAAACGTCTAATTTTAATGAGTTCAGGTTCTATTAACAAGTCAACGTCGACTATTGAGTGACCACTTATATTAATTTTATGTACCGAAGTCGTACTAATTTCACTGGCTTTATTCTTATTTATCAATAAGACCAGACAAACTGCCGACCTAAATTTC